TGCATTTCCATATACTGTATGTATCCCCCCTTTCTGCTTATCTATTCAGTTACAGGAAGCCACCGCTGATGACTGTTCTCCTTGTATAATTCAGCTTTATTGCAAACAACAAGAGTTGTTAGATGTAAACTGATAACCTTCTGTTCTTAGCTTTCCTAGTTGATGTCTGCTGAATCTGATGAAGAAAGCATTTTTTAAAAACCTTGATTTGCTCTAGGATTCACTTGATTGTGTTTTTGGAAGTGCAGAGTATCTGCAAATCTCTCCTCCAGCATCACATTTCAAACAAGTTACTGGAAGAAAGCAGCAATCATTTAAAACAACTGTTGGAGAACATGAATCAAGAAAGTGCCAAAGCAGGACTGCAGCTGAACTGTTACGAACACAAAAACCACTCAAGATTAGGCACCAGTAAACAAATAGAGAAAGGGTTGTTTTGGTTGGTTGGTTGATTTTTGTTTTTTAACAAAACACTCCACCAGAGGAGTGGAAAACAGAGGGCAAAACCATAACAAGCCACCTTCTACCTGACCCGCATTAGCCAGCAGGGTAGTAGGAGAAGCCACATATCTGCCTTATCTCTCCCTCTGAATCCCAGCCAGGTCTGTTGATTTGCCCTTTGCTGACATGAGCTGTCTGTGTAAGTCGTAGTTAAATGGATGTTTCTCAAGTTGTTTCCTACAATGCTAATTAAAAATAATAACAGCTTGCAGGGGTGTTCCCCGAATGTGTGTCTTAAAAATAGAGATTTGCTTAAGTGCTGTCAAGCATAAGAAGAAGGATAAGAAAAGGTGTTGTTTGCTTACAGTAATTGAAAGCTTCCTTTTATAATTATCAGGAGCATCAGTCCTATTATATGAAGGACAGTGGCCAAGGATTGTGAATTTCCACCCACTCCTTGAAAGAGGCAATGCAGCATGTCTGAGTTCATAAAACATTGATATGGCACACACAACAAGCAGAACTTGATACAAATGAATTGCCTCAAGGAGAGTCAGTAATAATTATGGGCATACAGTATTGGGATGGGGGTACTCAGATTTTTTGGGCTCCCATTCCCAGAATTCTTCCAGAATCCCCCAGGCAGAATTCTGGGAATGGGATTCCCCAAAATCCAAATGTTCCACCCCTAAATGTCAGACCAAGCCAGCAAAATTTGTCATTGGGTGCAATTTATTGATGCAGCTGAATGGAAATTCCAAAGCAAGATTCTGATTTTTTGAGCATTCCAATTAATAAAATATCCAGACAAGTGTGTTACAGAAGTCCTGCCTGGGAACAAGATGTGTTCAGTGCAATATTCTTTTACTGCCCCTATGTGTTATGATGCATCTTTTTTTTCACTGGCCCTTGTGAAGTGTACTTTGTGTACAGAGTGACTGGATAGACCCAGAACATCCTTGTCTTCACCTGCAAGGATGAGACAGATGAAGATTTCTGTCATTTATCACAGATACTATTGTGTCCAGAAGACTGAGGCCAGTGGGATCAGATGACATTGTACTGACTGTTGAAATGTGTAATTTAAACAAACAGTGCTGTGTAAACTCTGTGTTTAAATAATAAATTACACCAGACAGACCACTGCCAGAAGCAAGGTGGGGGGAAGGGAAGTTAAACCAGTGAAAATAACTACACACATTTTCTGTAGAGGCCAGTAAATCCATCATTTGAAAGTGAAGGAGGAGGGAACCCAAACTTAGTCTATAGAGACAAAATTAAGTCTTATTGTGTGAACTTTTGAAGGTTGAGATTACTAAGTTAAATTATATATATTGAAGAGATAGCACACCAAAGACTTTTTAATTATGTCTGATGCCATTTCTCCCTTTTTAAAAGAGCTGCATATAGTTTGGTTACTATTAGAATAAGTGTTTTTCTTTGTTGTAATTCAATTAATATGTTATAAAAATGTTTGTTTTTCCTCCACTTAATTGTTTTATTAGATGATGTCAACACTTTTATGAGTGTTTATAATGTTTATAATGTATAGTGTAATTCTTGAATATAGTAAAATAAATGTTCAAAATCATGTCGGCTCCTGGTTTTATGTATATCTACTTGTACTTTTAATTATGGTTGCACCAAGCATGTATTGACATTTTTCCAATGCATTCCCCAGAATATTAATATTTATAAAAGCAGAAAATATAGAAGATCGTATTTAAGGAAGTGGCAAGTGTACACATCCAACTAATCTAGGTGAGTTTTGCAGTATGTCACAAGGTGGAAGCTAAGGTCATGAAATCAATGTTAAGAATGTATATGTATTGTTAAGCAATCTCTGGGTGGTTATGCCTTATATTAAGCTCGTGGATTTAAGGTGTGTTATAGAATACATCAGACAAATCTGTCAGCTGGGTGAGGAAAGCATTTATGTGTGCTTGTGTTTGTTTACTTCTGTCCTTCCAGAAGATGGAGATCTGATAACTAGTTTGTTGTTCACCACAGGGTAATTCATTTCTTTGCTTAGAGAGCTTTCCAGCACTACTTCTATGCTGAATTAATTTCTTGTAATAAAGCTTGTATTTTCATTCTAATTTGCCTACGGAGTCTTTGCTTTGTAAGCCTAATGCAATATGGAGTTCCTTTGTTTGTGAGAACCAAATATATTAGCCTGGCACTCGAAACTGGAAGAACTGATGATTACCTCGCCTTTGGAACATCCTCCCCCCTGAGATCCGCCTTGCTCCCTCACTGGGAGTTTTTAAGAATAAACTGAAATAAACCTGGCTCTTCAGGCAGGCCTTCCCTCCTGACATTACTTAATTTCTTCCCCTGGTTTTTCCATCTTGGATTATGTTTGCTTGTTTTAGGTTTTTTTTAATTGATATTCTTAATTTTATTGCTTTTTTAGACTGTAAACCGCCCAGAGTAGATTCATCGATGGATGGTATAAAAGACAAACAAACAAACAAACAAACAAACAAACAAACAAACAAACAAACAAACAAACAAACAAACAAACAAACAAATATTAATGGAAGAATTGGAAGAATTGATGATTAATGTTATGTTTCCTTTCAGGATCATTGTGGATTTTCATAAAATCCACTTATTGCCACATGTCTTTTTCTCCAAAAGAATCAAGATCTTATGTCATGCTTTCATGCAGCGTGGCCTGTGATATGAAAATGTTGACTGTGACATAAATGTGCTGTGAAAAAAATGGTGCATTCATTTCTTTAAAATGACACAAATATTTTTTTTAGATTCCCCCTTCAAATCTTCACTGAAAATAATTTCCTGAGTACAGTATTGTTTCTTTTCCTTTTTTTCTCCTAGCTAACATAACGCGCATTGAAAAAACCTTACGGTGATTCCCAGTGGTTACTTACATCTCTTATGAGTCATAGCGACAAGATAAGGAATTACCCTTAGGCTCAGTGTTCTTGAATTAGCCACACCATACATTTGTATTAAAACAAAACACACACACACACACACACAAACATTAAAGCAGCTTTTGAGAAAGAAATGGGGAGTCAATTTGAGAAAAAATAGATTAATGTGAAATGAGACAGCTTAATCATTAACATAATTGCTAAATAAAAGTCAACTTGCCATACTTAATATGTTTCATATTAATTAGGCACTTTGCCCATCCCCCAAAATGGCAATTAAATATCCTACCCCAAATCCTCTTTGTTCTTAACCACGTGTGGAATATTCTACTCCATGTGTGATTCCTCTTTTCTCACTATTGAGCAGGGGGAATTCAGTTAACCCTTGCACAAGAGTTCACATGGGACAATCTCCGTCACACACAACTGTAGCCATTGATTGTAAGGAGTGCTGTGTTTCTACACTCCACAATCTGCCAAGAGAATACTAGCCACTAAACCATACTTACACTTGAAGGAACTGTTTGCAATTAGGTTATAAAAATTGCAGTCTGGGGCCTACATCTATTTAATCCTCTCAGGGAACAGACCCACTGAATTAACAGTTGAATAGTAAATCAACACTTAAATAAATTCTTTTAATTCCATGGGTCCACTCTGTTTGAAACTAGCAACTGGCTGTAGGGCATTTTTTCTTATTATGGTCTCAGAGGCCTGGCCAAGTTAGTCTCTTGTAGCAAACAGAACAAAGAGATCCACCCTAATAGATATATTATAGCCAGAAGGCAAGAATGGGTGATACCTTTATGAGACCATTAAAACTCACAAACATAAGTTAGTTTACAACTGTACACATCAGGCTGGGCACCACAGAAGTGGAAGTATTGCAGACGAAATATAAGAGTTCCAAAAATCATGGCCAGGCTCCTTTGTTTGAACTAAGTTTCAAAAGGCAGACTCAGGTCAGGAATACAGGTCTCAGATTTCACCTCTGGTTGTGTGAATTAGAGTGCCTGCCCCAGTCATCTTAGACAAAATATTGGAGATCATTCCATGTTCTCTCCCTCTCCCCTCCGCCCGTGGCCCTACATTGAAACATGTGACTCCTGGGAACAGAGGCACGCAGAAACATGGTGAATCCTATGTCAGGAATGCTGGGATAAATTTTAGTCTACACACCAGGTAAGTCAACTATAACTGAATTAAAACTATTACCTAGTAGCTGGAGCAAATCCTGCTTGGATGATGTTCATTATCTATGCTTGGCTGTAAATGGTGCTCTGTTCCATTCTTCAAGGACTCTTCCACTATCAAACAAAAAAAGAAGGAATTTTTAAAAAGCCACGTGGTCCTTGCACACAGTCTGTAGATGAGGGTGGATAATGCATTTATTAGACAATTAAAAAACATAAGCTAGCTTTCAATGCTGCACAAATTTTCATTTGGCCTGCACCACAGGGGTTGGGTGTGGTGCAGAAGTTTTATTATAGCCTAGCCCTTTTGGACTAGAACCAGCCATGACGTACTTCTTATTGGAAGAGATTTAAATCTGTATTGATCATTGCACAGTAATATAAAGTAAATGTTTACACAGCCTGTGATCTGGGTCCTCATTTTTGTGCCTTCTGTTATTGATTCCTAGCAGCAGTTGAGCGCTTCCGTGCCTTTTCCTCAGTCCAGTGAAAGAGAAACATAGAAGGACCATAAAAATCTGAGGGATTACTCCAGGAAATGTATGTTAATGAAAAGGAAAGACGGGACCAATAGAATAGTTCCAGGGGAGTCTTGTGACCATGAGATGCAGCAGCAGCCTTCACGTTAAGTTTGTTTCATTTCCACTATTTATTTAGGTAAATTACATTTTTATTAACTTTTTGTAACAAACTACTTATAATTATTTTTAATTTAAAATGTTTCTCTCCTAATTTTTAGTCTTTATTTAATTTTTAAATTACAAATGTGTGTTTGTGGGGGGGATACGATACTAAAACGCTTAGGAACTACTGGTCTAAAATATCTCTTATGCACCCTGAGGTAAACAAAGCAGGTAAAATCATTTTCTGTATCACATTAACTGCTGACAATAAACCAAAACAATTCTTTTTTTTAACAAGGGGCTGACCTGTGGTCCTTCAGTTGTAGCTAACCAACAATCCTCATCACCTTTGGCCATGCTAGTCGAGATGGATGGGAACAGTAGACCAAAAACTGCCTAAAGGATCAAGGTTCCTCACCTCTGTTCCAAAAAGTGTAAACTTAATTGTGCCTTCCTTGTAAATAAGCTTCATTCTCAGCTGAGCATCTCTTCGCTGTTGCTTGAATCCAATGTAAAAAAAATTATATGGACTATGGAAAGTTGGTCACCCTGGCTTAGCAGATTTTCTGCTGAGAAAACCTGGAAATCATGTCTTGTTCAATACAGCTGCAGTTTTATTCTGGTGTCTTTGGTATGTCTTCTTTAAGGCTCTGTTGTAATGTTTACACCATAGGTTCCAAAGTCTAATACAATCAGGGATTTAATAACTGGAACATATGAACAAAAGTATAATCCTATCTAGTGGCATTAAGCATTAATTGTCGATAAAAGCAGTTACTGAGAGATGGTCATATCCATCTCTCAGTAAATGTGAATCTACACCTCTGGAATCAATAATGTCAATTCAATTTTGTGCAGTATTTCTGACTGAAGAGTTGAGGCTATAATTTGTAAATGATTTGGAAGATTCCCTTTGGCAACATATTGATTTAACAGTAAATGTGTTTACTGTATAACCAGTGTATTGTCCTTGGTGAAACTTGGGCATAATCAATTCATATTCCTAACCATTTTTAATTATACTTATGTGCTGTTGAATGGTTGAACTTAGGGCGACTTTCCCAAGGTTTTCTAGATATGAAGTGTTCAGAAGTGGTTTACCTTCTGATGCTATTCTGAGACCATGCAGCTTATTGAAATTTGCACCACTGGCTATAGGTGCTCCATGAGAGCTAGACTCTTGATCTAGCAGATGTCCAGGCTAGGTATAGAGCTTGTTTATGGTTGGAAGTGATGCTTTTTTGATCTTCAGGTCTACAAGGCAAGATTTCAGTACCACCTGGAATGTGACCTATTTCCTACTTCTCTGCATATTGTTTACCCATTACTTGGAGAAAGTCTGGATGTTGCTAGGCATATTTTGTGGATAGCTGTGATTTCCACATCAAAATAAAAACCGCGAATATAAAAAAGAAGGAACATCCATTTCTAAACAGTTTGATGTCATGCCTAATATCTAATCTCTACTAATTTCATGTGAAAATTGATGTATGTACATGTAAAGCATCTTGATAGACAATATACATTCTTATTCAGTACAAGAGCTTTCACGTTGAAAGCATTCTAATTATGGAATCTCATTGCTAACATCACACCGTAGATGATAAGCAAGCTTTCAAATCTATGCCTGAAAAGCTTTGGGACACATTCCATAGTGATATGTTAGACAATGCCAAAAATATATATGTTAAATCATTGGCACTATTATTTCCAATGGGAAAAGATCGAGATGACAGAGTGTATGACTGGTTACATTGATGTGCACAATAGATCATAATAAAAAGACAAGAGATCATTATTTTTTGTCAGGAAATTATGTGTATGACTGGTAACACTTATGTGCACAATAGAGCATAATAAAAAGAGATCATTATTTTTTGTCAGGAAATTATGGGCCTACTTTTGTTTATTGTCAAAAGAATAATGGTCAGCATGTGTGTGTGCTTAAGAACAGAAAGGACTGGTGCATCCACTGAAACTGTAAAGCAAGGAGAGACGAGAGTCCCAGGATGTAAAATGGGTATCGCTTCATTATTTAAAGATGCGAGCCCAATGCGTTTCGGTTAATGTATTTTTAGCCTTCTTCAGGGGCATTGATGTGGCACTTATATTGAATCTGTTTCTGAGGCTTTTTTAGGGACAGTTTCCCACTCCTTTTCGGATTAAAGAACAGACAACAAGAGCTGTATGCCATGTATACAGTGCAGTCTTCCAAATCAGTGTAATTGGGCAAGGGTATAGATTGCTTGCCAACGCATTTCGGTTAATGTATTTTTAGCCTTCTTCAGGGGCATTGATGTGGCACTTATATTGAATCTGTTTCTGAGGCTTTTTTAGGGACAGTTTCCCACTCCTTTTCGGATTAAAGAACAGACAACAAGAGCTGTATGCCATGTATACAGTGCAGTCTTCCAAATCAGTGTAATTGGGCAAGGGTATAGATTGCTTTTGAAAGTACAATAGGTGTTATCAGTGAAGAACAATAGGTACAAATACCCAATCTTGTTCTTTTCTGACCACAGATACAGTTTTTGTTACTTAGTGCAAAGAAATCAAAATATGAACACCTACTTGTAGAAATCTCAATTTTAACATATTTAGAGCAGATCCACATATTACATAGATTTAAGAGACATAGTAGAAATAGTAGAACTTTGTGCTATCCCATATTGCATGCTGAGTTAGCTTTCTCCTACTATAGGGAAACGGCAGCCATGGTGCTTCTGCAGTTTAGTCCTTCGAGCAGGAACATCTATATGCTACTTTGGAGTGAGATATTTGGGAGCTGGAAATATGAGTTGTTATGATACACATTAGTAGGTGGCCTGTCCTCACTTATTTTTACAATGGCAGGAAAACAGCCCTTCTGTGCCTGCCGAGAAGAGAAGCAGCAGTGAACTGTTGATGATGTACTCTGTTGTTGTCTGCTGGGAAAAGAAAGGGATGGATCAAGAAGAGATGGAAGGCAAGGTAGCATGGACCATTGGTGGAAAAGCCTCCTTCAGGCAGAGAAAGCAGAGATAGGGAAGATCTATATCAGGTGACCAAATGACCCTTCAGCTGGCCCTAGCCCTATCCATTATTATTATATCAAAGGACATCCCATAAATGTTGCTGCAATTTGTGGCATGCGTACTGAAGATCATAGACTGCTGTTATTTCACATAACAACACTGGAAATATCTAACATTAATTTCCATTAGTCTCTAGACCCATTGAATTCAGTGAGATAAACTGATTGCAACTAAAGTGTCTCATTAGTTTCAAAGTGTCAGTTCTAGTTAGTACTAATGGTGGCCTGTTCCTTTAAAGCACGTGAGACTGTTCTTTTAAGGCACGTGAGGAAGTGCCCCACCTCAGGCTTCCCCAGTTCACCCCCAGCCCAGCCTCCTTCTGCTTGCCTCCTTACCATTGTCCCCCAGCTGTGTCCAACTCCTGTTCAATTCCCATCACACTCTGTGTGCATGTGAGGATGGGCGGGTGAATAAATGAACTGCCCAACACTGAAATCTGACACCAGGAGAAGCAATAGCAAATAGGACCATTTCTCATTTGGGGTAAGTTGTCTTTTCTGGCCCCTCAGCTGAGTTGTGGAGTGACTGACTGGGATAAGTATGAGGGTGTCTGGTAACCTTCTTCTGTGGATATATCTCTAAATGATTTCTTCCCTGACTACCTGTGCATGTGCATGTATGTGTTTTGCAGTACATACTGCAGACAGATAGGTGTATGACTACCCACTTTTCCCCATGGTTGTGTCTGTCACACCTGGATCTACCCTTCCATTGGCTGCTATGCCTTCCTTCCCACCATTCCAAGTGGACACCAGGTCTTGTTTGGCCCAGAGTCTTAAATGTAGAGCTAAACTGGGTGCTATGGTTGCAACATTTTTTTTAAAAAAAAGAATGCATGAGGGAGCTACAAGACCATTTCGCTACAAGCCTGCTAACTACAGCTTCGGGTTCCAGCCACACCAATACCAGCTTTGTAGAACAGCTGCGTACATATATATGGAGATTCCTAGAGTGCCCTCTGTCTCACCCCAAGCGGCGACAGGGTGAGTTGGGGAAGCTATATTTGCCTTTGTTTTCATGATCTAAGGAAGGCATACAATAAAAGAGAGGGAGAGTGGAAAGATTTTAGCTCACCCTCACATCACTGTAGTGGGATTAAAGTGCACAACTGCTGAGATTTTAGAACATATGGCCTGCATGGATTATCCTGGTAATCCAGCCTGAATGGAAACTAATACACAAAGTAAATCCAGAGAAGTAATCAGAAAATGAACAATAGGCTGTGCACATCATCTGTATGAGTTGCCTCTTGGCAGAAGTGACTTGCATTTCAGCAACCATATGCCCTCTCATAAACTGTCTTTATATGCCCAAGGAAGAGCTGTAGCTGAGTAGTAGCGGATATGTTCTGCTTACAGCAGGCCATGGCTTCACTTCATGGCACCTCTAGGTCAAGAGTCCTCTTAGAAGATCCTCTTGCAGTCAGTGCATACTACAAGAATACTGAAGTGGACAGACAGTAGTTTGATTTGGTATGAGGCACCTTTGCATCTCCTGTGGGTATTGCTTGGGACAGCCATTCATATGCTTTACCAACAGTGCAGCAGACAAGGACTTCCTTCACTATGGTTACATTTGGCAAGCAGCATACAGCCACCTAGCAATTTGAGTTTCACCTTTCTCTTAGGCATGGTGCATATTGGTTTGTGCTGACCTCTGGGACTATTCAAAGCATTAGTGTCTGCAGAGGAACACAACAGGTTGCTTGTTCCCTCAAATCCTAAATGTGTCTATTATTTAATGTACAAAGCCGGAGGTACGGTGTTGTACTGATGTACACTATGTATATAAATTAAATTGTTGTGCTACTACTGTAGACTTTTTTTGCCCCAAAGGCATGTAGGATCTTATGCAAGCTGAGCTGGACTTACTGATTCTTTAGTCTTAAACAAGCTACTAATATTGACAACCAGTTTAGTCATCCTGAAGCAGAGCTTAGGGAACATATACTGTATATACCTCCTAGAATGCCCTAACAAGCATGGCCACTAGGAAGCTCTGAAAGAGGCAAAATTAAGAACTTTTCCAAGCTAATATCTGAAAATACCTCAGTACAAGTACAGTAATTTATTATATGCCCAACCAGTTTTCTTGAGCCAGTATGCTGTTGTGGCTAGAGTGATGGGCTGGGATCCAGGAAAACTGGATTCAAATACCTGTTTGGCCATGGAAACTCACTGGGAGGTAGCAGTAGTAAAACCACTTGTTAAATATCCCACATGGCTTGAAAACCCTACTTGTGTAACCATGGCATGACTTGATGGCACTTGACACACAGCCATTGCTCTACATGTCACATGCACCTGTTCTTACCAGGCAATTTTGATTCAGATTCTGTATTCTTTGATTCATGGAGATCCATTTTAAAAAGGAGCCATGTGAGCTATATATAGAAACAAAATTCTGGGTGGTGTGATACCTTTACTGAGTCAGTGAGACATTACAACAAGAGAAGTTTTCAAATTCTCCAGAGCTCTTAATTGGGCATAGATGGTGCATTTGGTGACAGAGGAATTTGGCCCTTTGTTCTTCAAATCACTAGCAGGGCTAGTCTGCAGGTTGCAGATTCAGGTAAAACTAAAGTGTACACTCTTTCCTCTCTCTGTAGACAAAAAACCTGGCTGATCTCTCATAGATTTGTCTTGTGTACTCATGTGTACCTTAGCCCACCATCCAGCTCCGTTCATGATACAGTGACAATGCCTGGCTGCCACTAAAAGCTGTGGGATACAGAAGGGTCTCCATCTTGCAATGGCATCATATTTAGTAAGTGCACAGATGACTAATAGATGTTTAATCCTAGATCTGCCCCTTCCTGTGGAGTCCAAGTACTGTACTGCTGTTCTGAATCATCACACATTACAGACATAGATGCTCCTTCCATAACTTCCCTAACTTGCCGCCTCAATCTCTCACAGTTCTCAAGCATCAGTGTTCTGACAGACATACCATAGAGTAACTTAGAATTCTGTTTTAAATATTTGAACAGAATTAGCATCAATTGCATGCCAGTAATAGATTCTACATGTTTGGACTGCATTAGTTTTTTCCCCACCCTACAGGGCTGTTGTACCATCATAATTGTTCACAGAGTGTTGTGTTCCTTTGTTGTTTTATTTGCTTTGTAATTGGCTTGTGTGTTTACTCTTTCATAAGCTGCTTTGGGAAAACTGACTGACCATTGAGAAGTGTGGCATAGACATTTTAGAAGCAGATAAGTAAAACAAATATTTAAACTCTGTATGAACAAATGAACTCATTGCCATGCTTCCTGTGGGACGTTTAACCAGCAGTGTTTTCCAAATGGAAACATGAAATAATCTGTCACCTTAGTCATTTGAGTTTTCTCTCTCCCTATAGGAGCAGTAGCAGTGCTTAGAAGTGAAAGTAGGAACTAGGCGCTTGCAGTATCCAATACCAGCCGGAGTGTTTATGTGCAATAGAAAATGCCAAATGGTGTGGCAGTAATGTGCCTAATGCTGTTAGCTTTAGCAAGCCATTGAAGCTGCAGTGTTATCTGCTGGCATGTTTTCGGCCGAGCCAACTATCACTATCTGCCTGAATGCTTACCAAATGATGCCCATGGGCACTGATGGAGACAAGCAATTAAGATTGACAGATGGTCCAGAGAGGAGCAGCTTGACAGATAATTCTCCTGCCAGCAGACTTCATGGCTCATCTCTCATTTTTGATGCACATGAAATGTTTCAGATAGGCTGGGAGGCAACTTTTATAGACGGATCCGAATATGTATTGAATAGGCCCTGCTGATTTCAAGAACTAGAATGAAAATAATGGAAGTTATAAATATTGAACATTATACTCCAGTGGCCCTCTGCATTTTAAAGTTGGTTTTCTATACATATTGGTTTCTTAATACAGGGAAATTAGTTTGGTGTGTCTGTATGACCACGTATTTTATGAGATTCAATTTTGCTATTGCTGGAGGGAGGCAAGGAAGCCTTAAGCCAAATTGTATTTCATACCAGAGAAATCTGTCAAAAAGCAAATTCAAAGGAGAAGACTGTGTAACTGGGATTCTGTCTGGAGTGTGAACAGCAGCTTACATTGCATGTTTAATTCAGGAGTCACCCATAACAAACAGGATCACATTGCTGGAAAGTGAACACTGTAAGAACCAGGAAAGACACACACACACACACACACTGTTTCTTTTGGCCCTCAATGACAAGTTCCCCTCTGCCTCACTGCAGGAGTTGGCAAATAGGGTTGCTCATTCTCAAGCATCATCAGTTCTGCCACCCTTTAAAAATCCATGTCAAACTAGTTCATTTTCCTAGTAAAATCTGAACTATCTCTCTTCTAAGTAATCCCCAGATTGGGGGCGGGGGGGGAGGAAAAGGAAGGAGAAAAGCAGCTAATACAACGAAGAAACAGGAAGGATTCAATGACACAGAAAGATTAGGTCCAGCACATTTAGAAAGTGGCATTTTTTTCTTGGACATTTAGAGACACAAAACATTTGAGTAGGTCGGTTCCAGTAATGTTGCAGAGAATGCCAGTGTGGTGTAGTGCATGGAGTGCTGAACTAGGACTCAGGAGACCTCTGTTCAAATCCCCACATAGGGAAATCACAGGAGGCTGACAATAGTAAGCCACTCCTTGAACATCTCATGTGTCTTAAAAAAACCTATTAGGGTTGGAAATGACTTGATGACACACAGCAACGCAACGTTGCAAAAGATACTCGTTCGGTTAGTTGGCCATTCATTTCACCAAGTCTAATCCTTAGAAATTTTTGATAGAGTTCACATACAAGGAAGCAACAATTTTGCTCATAAACCAGTTTCTACCTCTGGGTTTCTCTTTCTTCTACTGCAGTCCACTGTACTCAGCTGCAAAAGGAATGTGTTCACAATGTGCATGTTGCAAAATCCAAGGCCATCATTTAGGAGGGGGTAAATGTTCTATGCTTTCCCAGTACAGCAAAGGGTAAAGTGGAGAATCACTGTCCTTGAGTTAAATGTGTTGCAGAATTTTTGTTAAATCCTTGTTCTATGCAGTAGAAGCACAGAGATTCACAGAGGAGAATAGCTACAAGCGTTCCAAGATAGCCAGTTCCTTTCTCATTAACTGGCAATTACATTCTGAGACATCTGTAGGAGCAAGAATAAAAGTGTTTCATTACTTTTATTTGTGAACAGATCACCATCAAATTAAAAAAGCAGACATTGCTTCCAACAGACAAAAGAGAGAGAAAGGAATGCTCAGCTGAGAGGTGGGTTCTCTTTGCAGTCAGAGGTGGGAAGGAATGATTGGTTAGTGCTGGATAGATTGACAGTCATCACAACCTAGAAAAATCCCTCCCACCCACTCAAGCTGCACAGTTGTAAAAACTCCAACAAAAAGTTCACAATGATCAGGACAGGAATTAGTGTTACTCCACTATCACAAACATACTGCATTATACAGTATATTTGTGATAGTGCATCTTTAGTGCTAAAATCTGTTAGTGTTCGAGAGCTGTGATTCAGACAGATTTCGGCAACTGGATGATCATACCTGCAAATGAATCCTGTGTTTACCTTCCAATGACCAATCACAAAACAAGAAAAAAGATAATTTATAAACTGTGTGATGTATGTGAAGAAGGGAAGAGATGAACTAAGTACAAGGGGATCATTTGAAATTTTAGAAGAGGTAGCATGTTGGTCTGTGCAAGCATATTGGGCAAAATCCAAAGGGGGGAAAATAATAAAACATAAAAAAATCAAAAATTTGTGGCACGTTATAGACGGTTACATTTTAATGTGAGCTTTCATGGACAAGTACACTTCTTCAGATATATGAGGTAAAATAAAGAGTTCACTTAGTAAAACATTGGTGCCCGGCTTTAAAATGCAATGGTGTGTAGTTGCATTTCACATGTGCAATAATTTATTACCTATGCTTGGTGTTCAGATCTTTTGAAGTCTGGTTTTGTATACATTTCCATACGAAACAGATAACAGAAAACAAGAGAAAAAAAAGGGAGGATGAGAAGGGGGTTGTGGTCATCAGTAACATGCTTAAAAGAGACAGCAGAGGAACAATGTGTGTTAATATAAAGAATATTAACAGTATTTGCATTTGAGCCTTGTACTGGAAGAAGAGTCTGGTAGTTGTAAAAGAAAATAAAAGTAGATGATAGTATAATTATTACATTTGGTAATGACTTAAGAAACCCTGACCTATCCATTTATCTGGTTGACCATCATATGCATAAATTTTGTCTCAGTGCTTTCCCTCTCTACCAGAGAGAAACAAACCAGGAAGAGCACACCTGAGCAGATGTTCTTGAGTTCCCCTAGGATATGGATGTCTCTGCTGCTTCTTGGAAAACTAGCTTAGATTTTGAAGAAATATTTCCATTATTGAAAGTGTTCCTTCCCTTCTCAGAAGATCCTCCAATTCTGCAGAAGTTTGCATAGGAAGAAGCATGAAGAAGAGATAATGTTCACCAAATCCCCCCTGCAGAATTCAGCACAACCTCCCATCCTATTTCAAAGGTTTGCAACCATATATAGCAGAATTTTAGTTGTTGCGGGAGAAGTTCTTAACTTTAGTTTCCTTAACTTCATATGTTTGAGTACAGTGGGGTCTTGACTTGAGAACTTAATCCGTATTGGAAGGCGGTTCTCAAGTCAAAATGTTCTCAGGTCAAATCTGCATTTCCCATAGGAATGCATTGAAAGCCATTTGATCCGTATCTGCTCTTTTCCGTCCATAGAAACTAATGGGAAGCTGCTATTCTGCCTTCGACCACTAGAGGGTGATATTTTGTTTCTTTTTTTTCTTAGGTCAAGAAAGGTTCAGGGAAGGCAGGGAAAATACAGTCCAGGCAGTACAAGTACCAGGCAGTCTGAAGACTGTCTCCCAATCCACTCTCTAAACGCTGGGAGGAGTGAGGAAGCAGACAGGCACCTTTTTCACTGGCCAACAGTTAACTGAAAGTTCAAATTTTGCACTTTCCATGCCTCCCACATGGGTTTTTTTCAGTTCTTAACTCAAATCTAAGTATGTAAGTCAAGTCAATATTTTCCTAAGAGAGTGGTTCTTAAGTCAAAATGTTCTTAACTCAAGCCGTTCTTAAGTCAAGACCCCACTGTATTTGGATGTTGTAAGCTACTTTATCATGCCTTTAAACAGAAGTAATGAAACAGCTAAACATAAAAAGGTATAATGCTTTTCAGACCTAGCTTTTTATGTCTAACTGTAACAAATATATACACATATCTGAAACAAATGCAAAAATATACACACGGTTTCCCATTGAAATGCATTGAAAATCGGATAATCCGTTCCAATAGGAACGAATTGCCATCCTCAAGCGAAAATCGCCATAGGAAACATCGCTAAGCGAAACGCGGTTCCCCAATTGAAATGCATTGAAACCTATTCAATGCATCTCAATGGGAGGGGGGGAATACAGTACAACAATAAATTAAAAAAGAGTCAGAACATAGTCAAATTTGGTTAACAAAGGGTTTATTAAGTGCACTTTATGATTTCAAACATTTTAAACAGTACAGTGGGGTCTTGACTTGAGAACTTAATCCGTATTGGAAGACATTTCTCAAGTCCAAAAGTCTACAGTGCATTGAAAACCAATTAATCCCGTCACAGGCCGTTTTTGTTCCAGTTTGGTTTTTTTCTGGTCTGTAAGTCAAATCTCAGTCTGCGAGTCAAACCTAAATTTTGCGGCCAGAGAAGTCTGTAACTCAAAAAGTCTGTAAGTCAAGGGTCCACTGTAAACTCTAACTTTATAAATAACAGGAAAACATTTTAAAAACAGCAAACATGAGGCTGTTTAAACCATCACTAAGCGAAACAGGGGACCCAAAATTTAATCGCTATGCGAAGTATGGTCCCAACCATCACTAAGCAAAAATCGACCATAGGGACCATCGTTAAACAAAGCGCAAAAACACTCCGGAAAAGTCGTCGCTAAGCGATTTCGTCGTTAAACGGAGCAATCGCTAAGCGAGGCACCACTTATATATATATGAGATATTACAACAGAAAACAAGAACTTGGCTCAGACTCTGTAACTGTTTGTTTATACCTTCCAACAAATACTCCAAAATGCCCTGGAAGGCCATTCACGTGGTATTTGGGTACCACACAGAGAGAGAGAGAGAGAGAGAGAGAGAGAAAGGTGACCAGTCATGTTTAGGATAGTGCTGCCACCTACTGCTTGTCTCTAGTACAGCATAGGTATCAGCAATAGTAAGATTCCATCACACTCTTGGAAGTGGCACCTTTACATTAATACATTTTATTATTGCTTCATGAGAGTGCAGCAGTGATCTTGTGCTGGCAGAAGAAATCAACAGTCTATAAGTCAATTCTAAAAATTGGGACATCCCAAACATAAAAGTATAACTTTTAAACCAGGCTTCAGATAAGCACTAAATTCAGCATAGATGTAGCAGACAAACTGCCCTTGCTCTATGCCCAATTTAGGGTGGGGGTGGGGCTTGGGCAAAGGGTTTTTGAGTTGTGATTTTTAAAAAGTAAAACTATTTTATGACCTTAAATGTCACTACATTTAAAATACCTCATATAAACTGAAAAGACAAATCTTGCTTATCTTGAAAGACAGTGGCTGGCCCCATCCATTCTTTAAAACTGGAAACAATCCAGGCTCTGGGACTGAAATATAGGTTCTCCAAAAAGACCTTTCAAAAGAGAGAAACACTGATTTCTTATCACACTGAGCATATGTAGTACAGGATAACCAGCAAGCATTTTGCAAACTAGATACACTGTTGCAGCTTTGCTGCAAAATGTAGTGTCCGCATTGCCAGCAGGAAAAAGCACGCCAAGTTTACATAGCAAAGTATGCCAAGTTTACATAGCAAAGAGTAGCCTAAATGTTGATAACAACAATGGCAGCAGTCAAGATTATCTATAGAATATTCTTTTCTGCTCACTACCATTCACACTTGTTGAAAAACAGCCCTGACAATTGCTTTGTGTTTGGGTGAAAAGTGGTTAACTGATGAAAAAAGGAGTCAATTTCTAGGATTTTGTCACTTTGTGAATGGTAGTGAGCAGAAGAGGGTATCCTGTGGAGTGTAAAGCTTGGGATGTTATATAAGGCTTGGCATCTTTTTTATTATGCAGCTTGTTATACAGCAATATTAAGCCATTTCTTGGCTTCTTGAATTGTGATACAGAAGCATAATACCCCACATTCATAAACCAGATGTTGATTGAAGAATTGAGTAATAACAGTTGTGTGCTCTCAAATTGATTCCAACTTTTTGTGATTCTTTCCAGTGTTCCTAGATATTCATCACTCAGAAGTGGTTTACCCGTCCCTTCTTCTGGATGCACTGTGGGACCTGATTTATCATCCTTTTTCATTCTATGGTTTCAAGAAAATGTGACAAGGAATGTTTATTCAGAAGGGAATAAAGCAAGCTAGACCACCCCTTTCTCAGTCAGCCAGGTCCCATTGCTCTTTCAGAGCTTAATAGCTTTCACAGCAGCTTTCCAAGATTTTGATGCTGATGATTTCCTTACTTGATTAATCTTTGCAGACATCTAGCTATCTATCTATATATAAAACACCCAGTTTCTAAAGCGAATGGATCACCTGACGTCAAGTTGACTGAAACCCACAATGACAAGCTGCAGCGGGAGTTCAGGCAGAGAGAGGAAAGAGAAAATGCTACTCATAGGAAGTGTCTGTAAGGCTTCGCTGAGAAGTGGGAGCTGATCTCCATAGTGATTCCATTTCCTACCCTACAGCCACTACAGGCCATGAAGAGACACTTCATCGAGGATCCTATTTAAGTGGACACTTTTATTTAGTGGGCAAAAGAGAGAGAGGGAGAGAGGGATTGGGAGAGGAAGAGTTGAGCCTCTGCCACGAAGCCTGAAGCATCACTGACAAACCGCTTTATCAATGCTGCACTCAGAAATCAGGCACTAACATTGTCCGAGTGATTTGCCAGCCTTCTGGCATATGTTTGTGTAACCCCAAATATAGCTGTATAAGTAACACAATATGTGCTGTTTGCTGTGTCTCTCTAGGCTTCTCTGCATCGTCCAGAGCTCCCATTTGTTCATGTTCTGGCCTGTTGCAGAGCCTACATGGACAGAGCAATCTGTTCCTCTTCGGCCTGTTACTTTCATGAGATTAAAGTGAGGACAGAGAGTTAGCATGCTTCCTCCCTTCAGAATCTAGATTGAAGAGGGCTAGAGATGAAACCAAACAGGGACACTGAGAAACAAAAGGAAAGTATCAATATGAGGTCAGCTGAGGGATAAAAATACTTTAAAAGAATAATGTAAGGGGGCCAATCAGCCACTGGAAGGCAGTCAAAGGGGCATTCAAATGGATAGGCTTTGTCTGCAAAAAACTGATACCTTAATCCCTCTCTTTTTATTATTATTATTGAATCTTCAGTCTTTATCTTGCCATTCAGTCTGCCAATGAAGGCAACAGTCATGACATCTGGCCATTTTTATTTTAAATTTCTGTTACTTCTTCAGTCCTTCAAATGTTGTGCCATCTACCATTCTGAAGAGTTGTGAAGAACTAAAGGCAGAACGAAACGAGGCAACAACTTCACAATGAGAATGTGATAAAACATTATCCTCTCAACAATAGTATTTTCCTGCCCCCAGTCTACGGAATGCCCTCCTGACTGAAATTCGTCTGGCGCCAACATTGATGTCATTTCGGTCCCAGGCCAAAACCTTCCTGTTCCAGAAGGCTTTTAATTGAAATAACATCAACTGTGGGTCCTGGTGGCAATTTTAATTGTATTTTAATTGTCTTATCTTTTATTGTATTTTAATTAAATTTTAATTGTTGTAAGCCACTCAGAGACCTTTGGGTAGAGTGGGCAGCATATAAGTTAAATAAATAAATAAAATAAATTAATGTCTGTGCAATCAACTGGGAAATGAAACCTGTGCCAAGCTGCAAAACTTCATGATGAAGAAAAACAAACATCTTTTACCCTTAAGAGAACTCTGCTTCTAATTGCAAAGCTGGGCACTTTCTTGCTGCTCTCAAAAGCTTGCCACATTTGTGGCATAGTAATACAATAAAAGTATTCAAGGAAACAGCAAAATTTGAGGATTACTGACGGGGAACTGGGAAAGTAATAAAGCCAGTGATAGGATGGTATAGAATGCCACTTCTGGCTTCTAACGTTCTGTTGGATCCCTGAATGGAAGTACTTCTCATGTTAGGGTGATTATACACTATTGCTGCAGGCCCTACTTTCTACTACTACCTGTATGTGAACTACCTGATAATGGGCTATGAATGTTTTACTCTTCCTTGGTTTTGTGGACATGGAGGCAAATATTTTCTAAGTAACACTTTTATTTTCCAGGTCATTTAGTTCTTGTTCCTGCAGAAATCAACTTCTGGAAAAAATATGTTAAAAATACTGAAAATACACTCTGCTGTCAGTTTAATTTGTCATTCTTGTGCACAGTCACCAAGATGGATCCTGATTGGGAATCCAGTGGAGCTAGTAAGATCCACAGGATGCTGATGCTGGTAATGCTGGTGCAGCTGCAGTGCAATCCAAATGGAATAAAAAGTTGGTTGCATTGCGATGACACTTACCACCCACTTCATCTCCCCACCCTGAACCAAATGATCTCACCTGATCTTGGAGGCTAAGCAAAGTTGGGCCTGGTTACTGCTGGATGAAAGCGGTCCAGGTAATACTAGGGGAGTATTGGGAATTAGTATTAGGTCCAGGTAGTACCAGGGACTGCTAGGAAAAGAACCGTGCTGGAAACTCTGGAGAACTGCAGCTGCCAGGCATGGATGACTATACGGCATCAGTTGAATCAGCACTTTAGTATAAGGAAGCTTCTTATGTCCCTATGCATAGACATTTCTGCTCTCACCTATGGCCATTGCGAGATGCAGGTGGCAGGTGCCTTTGCACTCTGAAAACACACATTTGCTAAGAGAACAATCACTCCCTCTGCCATCTGATGTGCTTATCCATCCTGATCCAGGAAAGCCCGCATATTGTATGATGATTTTTCTTTTAGTGGTCTAACAGTATCCCCTACTTTTGTACAGTATTTGTGTTTTGTATTGACCAACAGCTCACTTTTATTCCCATAATTGGAGTGTCTCCTGCCTCTACTGCCATCTTCTGGTGGTTGTATATATGGGTGGGAATTCATCGGCACCTTTTCCAGCATGCAACAGAGCCTAGAGAAGTACAGTGGACCCTCTACTTACAGAATTAATCCGTATTGGAACGGTGGCTGCAGGTTGAAAAGTCTGTAGGTCGAGTCTCCATTAACCTAGAATCCATTGAAAACCTATTAAACCTATAACCGGCCGTTTTTGTTCCATTTTTGTTCCATTTTGGGTTTTTTTCTGGTCTGTAGGTCGATTCTCCGGCTGCAAGTCGAACGTAAATTTTGCGGCCAGAGAAGTCTGTAACTCGAAAAGTCTGTAAGTGGAGCCGTCTGTAAGTCGAGGGTCCACTGTACAGCTTCTGTGGTTTTGGAACAAAGAGGCGAATTCCCAAGCAGCCATGCTGCTTGAGGGATTCTGGGAATTGTAGGCTAAAAATATAAATCTGCACAGCTCTAGGGTTGTCTGTCCACTGGGAACTCAAGGTGCCTTTTCTGGAACTGCTTTAAAATACTTTGGTAAAATGCTTTAGAGCAGTGGTTACCAACTTTGGGTCCCCAAATATTCTTGGACTACAACTCCCAGAAATCCTGGCCAGTGCAGCTAGTGATGAAAGCTTCTGGGAGTTTTAGTCCAAGGGCATACAGGGACCATAGGTTGGGAAACCCTGTTCTAGGGAAAGAACAGAGGGTGGTAATATGAGAAAGATGGATATTTTTCTTGTGTTGTGAGGTCATTTTCAGTTACTCTGGCTGACTTCTTTTCTTAATTCATAAGAGATGGTGTTTTCCACCTCATTTGGATTAGTAATCAGTTTTGTAGTTGGACCGTCACTTTGGTTTGAAGGACCCCTAACATACCCCCTTGTTTTTAAAAAGCCTCTATTATGAATCTGTTGTCTCCCACAGGTTGTTAAATCAGCTAGACTTTATGCATGAATAAAATAACTAATGTATATCTCATTATATGGAAAGAGTTTGCTGTCATGTGTGTTTGCATTTTATGGATATTTTGAAAAGCGTTTGGACATTTTTTAAAAAAGTTTTCTTTCACTATAAAATGTAAACCTTTTGACTTGGTTGCTAAATAAACTACTGTAGTTAGAAAGAGATAAAGGTCCCTCTAGTGGAAACGAATGAAATGACAAGGCTATTACTCCTACAAGACAATCAAAACACCAACTTTACAAATAAATCTGTAAAGTACACAAACTGAAACGAAGCATTTTCACCTAGATGGCCCGACTGTTGTGTAAATTGGGTTAATTATATCATATATATGAGAGATGTACACTCTCTTTGGACAAATGTGCAAAAATAGATTGAATTGGGACATTCGTGCCATCTCAAGGTGAGAGAGGAACACTGCAAAAAGCTGCCGGTTACCCATGAGGTGGAACAATGCCTCAGGATTCTTAGTATCCCATATGGCATTTGTAGGGTTAAAAGATTTTTTGCCAACGCTCCCAGTAATCTGAACTAGGGAACTGGGACTTTTTCATGGGAATGAATCGCAGAGAAGAAAGCAAATGGTAGCTGGACCCCTGCCTTGTGGAGCCCAGATACCGTACTCTGACTACTGAGGTGATCGGGAGGCTGAACAATCATCTTGCCACTGCTCTGCTACCTGCTTCACAGAGGTGTGGGGTAAAGGGAAGCACTTGAGCAATCATTATTAGCAATGAGACATAATTTAAGCTGTTCTTTTTCTTTCTTATCTAGTTTAATTTATTCACTAAAGAGGGTCGTTTAGTCGTTCAGTTGTGTCTGACTCTTCGTGACCCCATGGACCAAAGCACGCCAGGCCCTCCTATCTTCCACTGCCTCCCGGAGTTGGGTCAAATTCATATTGGTTGCTTCGATTACACTGTCCAACCATCTCGTCCTCTGTCGTCCCCTTCTCCTCTTGCCTTCACACTTTCCCAACATCAGGGTCTTTTCCAAGGATTCTTCTCTTCTCATAAGATGGTCAAAGTATTGGAGCCTCAGCTTCAGGATCTGTCCTTCCAGTGAGCACTCAGGGTTGATTTCCTTTGGAATTGGTAGGTTTGTTCTCCTTGCAGTCCAGGGGACTCTCAAGATCCTCCTCCAGCACCACAATTCAAAAGCATCAATTCTTCGGCGGTCAGGTTTCTTTATGGTCCAGCTCTCACTTCCATATGTCACGACAGGAAAAACCGTAGCTTTGACTATGCGGACTTTTGTTGGCAAGGTGATGTCTCTTCTTTTTGAAGATACTGTCAAGGTCTGTCATCGCTTTCCTCCCAAGAAGCAGGCATCTTTTAATTTCTGCTGTCTCCATCTGCAGTGATCATGGAGCCCAAGAAAGTAAAATCTGTCA